ATCCATCATATCAGCAAGAATTTTCTGTGGATCACTCTCAAAATATTCCATATGACACTGATGTTCATATGTTTGATGAAGTACTTCCACAACAGTCATCTTCCATTGTATGTTTTGAAAAGAGTAGTTAATATTAATGATAATAATTAATACTGAATTTCACTTTCACTTTTATTATTTGAAATGGCTAGTAAAATTTGCAAATTAGAATTGTCTTAGCTTACAGTTCTTGAATATTTAGACATTGTTATAAAAGATATTTAAATATCTAAAAGCCGTTTTCAGCTCATTCCGAGTAGTGAATGGAGTGGGCATCAAACATACTCTCAAGAACAACAATTTCCTACTAATCCTGGTACTTCAGATTCTATTCAGCAAACTTTCAGTCACGTACATCAACAAGAATCTCCATTACATCAGTCTCAGAATATCCCGTATCAAAGTGATGACAGTAGTATGCAAATAGTTCAGCCTCTTTTCTCTGCTATGGTACGTGTTTAAATTATTGATAAACAGTGCCTAATATTATTGTATTTCTGTGTTGTTTTACTGTCCAGACTGTCCAAATTTACAAATTTTACTGTTGAAGTTTATTTACAAATTATACAAAACAAAATCTGTGATAAAGTTGAAGAGCATATTTTTTAGACCGTAGAGGAGAGCAGTGAGAATACTTTGGGTGGACAACAAATATATTCACATGAGCTTTCAGCTGATAATACCTTAAATCCAACAAGTAGCGGTCATGATGTAATGGAAGACGAAGAACAACTTTTAGAAAGCCCTCAAAATAGTTATGATTCAGAAATTGATGATAAAGTATGAATCTTCCGGCACATTTCTTCTCATTTTTCAGATCTATTTTAAAAAATTATTATTATACTTATTCACCTAAATTAATCCTTAATAAAATTTATAATTCATTGCTGAAACTTATCTTAAATCTCATGTATTAATATGCAGAAAAATTATTAATATATAAAAAACTGCTTATAACAGAATGTTGAGATGAGCAGCGAGGTTGATTTGTTTCAGATGGAGTCATATGCACAGAGTTCCAGTGATATCAACATTGTAGATCCTGTTTCTTCTATTTATTATATGGTTTTAAATTCTGAACCAAACAATCTATGGTCTTGGCATCAAGAAGACTCTGATCAGATTAATTACAATGTTACTTCTGTGCAATTACTTCAACAACGTTATGTTTTTCAAGTATGTTTTCTTTTATTTGGTAATATATTTTTATATTTTTTATTTTTTAAAATTATTAAATACTTATATATGTAAAAAGTTAAAGGAATATTACAGGATACAGAAACTCCAACATTATCGTATGAAATAATCCCTGCGGAAAATTTAAGTAGTACTAATAATGCAATTGAATCTGTGCAAGTTGAAACAGTTCATGAACAACAGAATATAAATGAAGTTAATAGAGCTCAAGTAAGAGATCTACACTACTTTCAATGAATAATATGTGTTAATTTGTTGAAGTTGGTTATATTTGTTCAAATAAATCTTTCCAATTAATTAGCTAATAATGAATCTTTGATTGAGGATAGTTAATATAGTATGCTAATACTGTAATATTATTTTAATAACTATTCCAGAATACTGTTCAAAAAAATACAGAAACAGCAGCTATAACACAATTACCACCTATAATTTACGGACCTACTACTAGGAGCTATAATCAAAGGTATAATCCCTTATTCTGTTATCAAATTTTTTGATAATTAAAATGTGCGCACATTTATGTTTGTATTGAATAATATAGACTTTCGCAAATTTCTTCACATTTTTAATAATTTGATTAAATCAATGATTTTTAAAATTATTTTTGTCAAATTCAGAATATTTAAATTTAACTTCAATACTTGCAATGGCAAATAATTATAATATTAAATATAAATAACAGTTGAATAATAGCAAAAGTATTATTGTTATTTATTTCAGAAGTACCGAATTGTTATCTGATGATCTAGTTTATTGCCAGTTTTGTAAACTGAATTTAACAGAAGAAGAATTTGATGCAAATCATATAAAAATGTTCCATAAAAAGCCGTGATCATATTTTCTGTTTTTTTTGTTGATAATTATTTTAAATGAAAATTTAATAAAGTAAAAAACATTGTTGAATTTGTAGTTACAGTTTCACTTTGACACACATCGAATACAAATTTTTGATTTAAAAAACTTTTCAAACCTTTACTCATTTTTCTTTTGCATTATATTTTGCATAGTTGTTTGTTGTAAGTACGATGTAATTGGTCTTCGAAGATCTGGATTTTGTACAAAATCCTGTCAAAATCATTATTTAAAAAAAATAGCAGTTATATTTAGTTCTGATTTCAAATTTAATAAATATCCTTTTTTTAAAAATAAATAAGTAAACTGCTTACTTTTAAACGTCTTTTCAACAATGCCCGTTTTTCTTCACGTAAATCACGCTCTTTTTGTTCAAGTAACTGCTTTTCAGTTTTTGACATGGAATCTCTCTGAAATTTTTGTTACATAATAAATAGTCATTTAAAATCTTAATTTTGTCATAAATATCTTACTTGTAAAAATATCAAAATTATTTGATCATACATAAACTTACTGGAATTTTTTTGTAAAGTGATTGGAAAGTAGGTAAAATAACTTCAGAAAGTACAGTAAAAAAAATCGATGGAAGCATTTTACTGAAAAACTGAATATTTCTATTGTTATTTATTGAACAAAAAAAATTAGCTATCCACTAAAATAAACCAAAATATAGTAATTATCAAATTAGTTTATTAATTTACTTTATTAAACTTCTGATCTAAATAAGCTTACCGCAGTTTTTTTCGCTACTACAAATGAGCGTTTAGTTTTATCAGTACCAATTGGCCGAGAATATTTAAGCATTGCGCTGAGTCGTTCCTTCGGTTTTAATGATAATTCCAAAAGCAGAATTACTTGAGCCCACTGTAATTTAGCAATAAAAAATGACTATAACTTTATAAAAATTAATCTGGATGACCTTTGACATTTCTTGTAAAACATTTAATGTCAACTTTTGAATGCTTTGATAATTTTGATATTTCCAAAAAAAAATTTCTGACTCAATTTGAATGCTTTTGGGCTATTCAGATGAGTACTAATAATAAGGTCTGAAAATAGTAATAACTGGCGCTTATATAATCAAAAACTAATTAGAATCAAATTTAGAAATCCAATCAACTGAATCCATAATAATAGATTAATTTGTATATTTTTGTATAAGTATTACGACTAATTTTTTTTTTTTAACTTCACACCTAAGATCAATAAAAATCCGAACGATAAATAAGTATGCTTTTAGTCTGAAATAAAAGTGAACTATTTTATATAAAGTATTTTTATCAGCAAAATTAATTGTGAGATTAGCGTAATAACATTTGAACTATGCAATTATATTAGCAAGTAATAAATCATAAAGTATTAAATACTTAATATAGTCATTTTTTAAGTAGTCATTTTGCCATTATCGAGCTGTAATTTTTTGCAAAATATCCAAATTAATGCTACTAAAACAATCTCATATCTTAATATCTAATTCATAACAATTGAACGCTTGAAAATCTTAATATTATTTAATTTTAAATCAAATTTTAAATTGATATCGGAATTGTGCGGAGTTAACACTTAATATCAGTGCACGAAACGAAAATAGACGCCATAATTAGCTAAAAAACATGGCGGAAAAATAATTTCAATTTGATAAAAAGTAAAGATTGCCAATAAAATATTAAATTAATGCTCGCTCAGACATTTCTATTCTTTTTACTTCAAAATTAATATTAAGTTCAAAGCAAGCATTTGCAGAGATACTTTTTGAACTACAAAAAGTTACACTATTATAATTACAATTAATTGAGTAAAGCAAAATTCCGTTAATATACTTTTTAACCTTTTCAAAATACAATATTTTTTAAAGTAAAGTTTTATTTCGAATGATTTTATTATAACCTTTTAACCTTTTCTAAAACAGTGTTTTTTTACTTAAATCAATTGCATATTAATCTGAATATAATTAATTCCCATACTTTGCTCTGTCACAAACTAAATATGCCACTGTTAATCAAAAAATTCTTTTTATTTCTATCATATTTTTATCTCTATCCTATTATGTACAATAATAATCAATTTATTTTATTACATTATGTGACATGACCTTTCTCAACTATTTGAGACTGACCATCAGATCAAAATATTGGAATCATAATTAGCTATATAAAATGACTATGCGGGTGACCATCAGATCAAAATATTAGAATCATAATTAGCAATATAAACTAACAATAATAATATTTATTTTATATTATGATAATATTTTTATTTGCATTTTTTTTTAAATCAAAAATATTGCATTTTAAATTTATAGCATATTAATGGACAAACTTGTCTTTTCCATTCTGCTGAAGTTCGAGAAATCGTTTCATATGTTCGGGTCATCATAGCAATTAGAAGATTAAATTGCATTATGCTTATACATAATTCAAAGATAGTAAATAAAAACTGCAATTGTATAATTAGTTAGTTTATAAATTTGCATATTCACTCATTTTATTTTCAGCATTTAATATAGCTGCAAGAAGTGAAAAAATGAGAATAATTGCATTATTTTTTGCCATTTTTTAGCTAAATTGATAGCACTAACATTTTAATTTGCATTTATTATAAATATGAGAACAAAATTGAAGAAAATGTTTGAAAAAGTAATTATTAAAACTAAAATTCAATAAAAAGTGTTAATAATTATCAAAACTGCAATAGCTTAATTTATTATGCATTAATTTGTGCTTAATTTTACAATATTTAAACTCTTAACTGCTGTCAAATATTTATATTTATGAAGTAATCAAATAAAAGGAACTAAAGTAAATCTGATTTCTACCTTTAAATCTTTAAATGTTAAAGAGGTTAAAGTTCAAACTTTTGAATTTTTTAAGCAAAAAAAATTAAAATTCTGAAATTTTTTTACTTTTAAGCTTACTATTTGATACTTACTTTGCCAATTGCTTGCATTAATTTTTCTTCACATGAATTTAATGATCGGTAAAAAATAGTAAATTCACCGATAGTCATAATAAATAATCTCATAATAGCTTCAAACGGAGTGTCCAGAATATTCACCCACTGTATCGAATCACTTCCGTGAAGTAATTTGTGTGCTCGATCACATGCTTGGAAAATTACATAAAATGCTGCAAATATTACTTTGGAATACATATTGGGCAAATATTTTCTTAGACTATTTATTAAACTGTTCAAATAAAAACACAAAAATCTGTTCAAATACTATTTATTAATAAATATGAAATTTGCCAAAATATTACTTGTTAATATATTTTTAGGCTGCTAAAATATCATTTATTAATGAATAACAATTTTATATTGCTGTAAAAATTTGACCTACTCTTGCCTAAATATTATTCTGAACTCTAGGATTAAGCTTTATACCAAAATTAGAATACTTATTAAGTAATATAAACTTGCCCCTAATATGTACATATATATTAAAATTTATAAGCATAGCTTTTTTTTTATAAGCATAAGCAATTACTGTAAAATGTTTTATACAAATGCATAAATTATGTATTGTTGCAAAAACAGCACAGAAATACTTGTGATTAGAAAGAAAAAAGTAAATGTGTTATCATTTTTAATTTCATACAAATAATTACTTCCTAATTTTATTAATCATTTAAGTGATTGCTTTGCTTTACATTTGCAATTAAAAATAAAAAAAATTATATAAACTAATTAGTAATGAAAAATGGAAATTTTACCTACATTGAGAGAATCCGATGAGAAATATTGAATATATAAGCATAAAACGGCTTAAATCCCGTGAAAGTATTGTATAAATCATTAACACAAAAGGGCCAACGAATTTAAGAGCTCTGATAAACAAACAATCACTACGATTTATACAGTAACTAATGTCATATTTGATTTCACGTTTCATATAAAAAAGCATAAATATTTTGTACCGAAAAATATTACTTTCTCTCCGTTAGACAAAATTTTGTAATTTTATTGTATTTGTTATTTAGATGCTTTTTGTTATTAAAAAAAAATTTTTTGAATTTCAAGTCTATGAGCTCTGATAAATGAATTATACATATGACATACAGTTATCGGTGTTTTGTATGATTTTAAAATTAATACCATAATCCATTAATTATACTAAAACTGTTAGGAATATAAATTACTTTTAAAGTTATTTTACTTATAAAGAAAGTTAAAGATAAAGCACAATTTTTTGTCTTTAAAAAATGACATAGTTAATTTAGTTAATTCAATTTATTTTATCAAAAATAATACCTCGTATAAAACAGAAAATGTACACTGCTCAACAAGACAGTCAGTAAGGAAAGAATATTATCAAAAAATAACATATTCGAGTATAATCCACAAGTTAATCGTATAGGAACAATCATAAGAACAAATACGTATGATATTTTGTAAGCAATTTTTGCCGGGAATGATTTCTGCAAATGCTATCAAAGAATTCTCAACACAAGTTTAAATTTATTTCGATTACAAGTAAAATAATTTAGTATTAAAATTTAGAATAATGTTTGAATTTTTGGACTAAAACAAATTAATTTTCCCAATGAGATTATTTTTCTGAAAAATTTTTGTGCGATTAGAAAGCTTTTTTAATTTTAGATAAATTGCTACATATTTTGTTTATTTTATATTAATTTTGTACCTAATTTACTGTATTGCTTCTTTTGTAACTAAATACTGAATAAATTTTTTCATTAATTTCAGTTCTCAATTTAAAAAAAACTATTTTATCTCATGTCTTATCATGTAGCTGAGAAAAAATTTATCTGTAAAAATTTATTCTTTACTGTACGTATTTATAATATTCATAAATATCATGTCTTATCATGCTATTTATGAATATTATAAATATATACAGTAAAAAAGCTAAATGCAATTTTAATAATTAATGAAAAGAGCTTACTGTGTTGTCATAATATTTTTAAGCAAAAATTATACAAAATGACAATTAATATCTTGATTTTATTCATTCCTACAATGATATTTAGACAATTAATATCTTGATTTTATTCATTCCTACAATGATATTTAGCCCACAAAATAAGCAAATCAAATTTGAGTTTTTTAGTAAAATTTTAGTACAGTCTTAAGAAGATTATACAAAATAACAAAATATAACGATAAATATTTTACTTATTGAAGTAATATATTTATCGTTATATTTTGTTATTTTGTATAATCGTTTCCATGACTAAATAAAGAATAATAACTTTAATAACTACTGTCATTCTGAATTGGAATCGAATTACTAAACTTAAAGGTAGTAAATTTTTTATACTTCTGAGTATGATAAAAAAATTGCAAAAAAAGCAAAAATCTGATTTAGGATTAATATTTGAGAATAATTATTGTTAGCATCTATACTGTTATCATATAAAAGTATCAAAAATTATAAAATATAACAAAAATAAATACCAAAACACGCCACCATCTGCTATGACCAACATTTCTTAGATCAATCACATCTCCAATAATTTGGAGTACAGCCATTGATAACACTGCACTTTCTGTTACTAATCGGACCTTAATAATAATATTAATAATGATAATAATAACAATATTAATAATATTAATAATGGTAATAATAACAATATTAAAAATATTAATAATGGTAATAATAACAATAACAATAAGTGACAATAATAATGATAACAATTATACAACTCTGGAAAATGTTTTATACCAAACATTTTATTCACAAAAAATGGCAAACAAAATAATATATATATTTTTTCAGAAATTAATCAAATTAATTATAATTGAAAGAGATAACCACTTATGAATAGAATAGAATAGAATAGAATAGAATAGAATAGAATTTAGTATATTTAACAATTTGCCTTAAGCTGTAAGCATTACAAGTTTTGAGTAGTATTAATAATATAACTTACATACTGTTGCCATCCTCTCCCAAAATACAACCAAAGTTGACAGTCATCTTGTAAAAGCAAACTACCCCCTAAAAGAAAAGTATTCTAATATTATGCGAAAAAACTTTTATTTAAAAATTTTTTCCAATGAGTAATTTTTTCTATGAATAATAATCAAAATTAGTAAGTGATTAATGAAAATTTAAAGATGAAAATTTGAAAAGTAGTAAAAAAAATATGAAAAAATAACAAATGTACAAAGCAAAGTAATAAAGTTTATTGTAATTTATTTAGCGCCAAAGTAAGGATTTAAAAATGAAAATTTACCAGTTTCTGTTGACGAAGACTTTTCAGGATTTTGGATATTATGGGTCATTAATGCATCAAAGATTGTAAAATTCCGACAATTTGGATCACTTGAATCATTGCAAGATTTGGATGTATTAACCAAACCATCTTGGTTATGTGAAGGTGCCTTAAATTTTTTATATTCAAAATAATTAAAGAATAAAGGTTGGAAAATATTATTTCTCAAGAGTTAAGCCATATTTTTTGATGCTTTTTGATTGATTGATCATAAATCAGCTGATCATTGGATTTAGATGCAAAAAAAATTAATAATTTAATTTTCTAGTCAGAAGACATTTTGTGAAAAATTATTAAAAATTATTTTCTATTAAAAATGTCATATAAAATGCAAAAGAGTGATTTTTTAATAAGTAAAATTTTCAAAAATCAAATTTCAACCTAAAAAATTTTTCAAAGTTTAATAATAATTTAATTAAATTGAAGTCAAAATTTAGGCAAGAAACAATAATTTCCATAAAAATGCAAAACTTAATTTAGTTTCTTGTTCATAAAATTCATGCAAAATTACAAATTGTATCAGAAAATTAAAATTTTTGACCTCTGGCACCATGGTAAATGGACGGCACATAAAGGCTGTGAAAATGCATGCGTAAAACACCACAAAGCATGAAAAGGATAGCGTTAAACTGTAATAAATAGTACTGCTTAACTTTGCTTTTTAATTTTGAATATAATAATAATTTTATTTGCAATTTAAACTTCTGAACTATCATAAAAATTTTTCGATTTTCATCGTTTAAACATTTTAACAAAATATTTTCCAAGATTTAAAATTGTTTAATTTTTAAAATTTTTTAAATTATAAAAAATTTTAAGTCCAAAAAAAATTATAAAAAAAAATTTTTTCAGATCATTATTTTGTAAATTATTACTTATGCTTTTACAACTTTATATAAAAAATATCATTGCAGATACTACAATTTTTAATAAGTAATAATTTAAGAAATAATAATTTGAAAATTTAAGCGTTTGTAAAAAAGGACTATTAAAAAAATTTATATTAGTTAGCTTTTGTGTTCCTGGTATAATGAATTTTTTTAATGTTTAATATTTATTTAAAATATTTATTCCTGTTCAAATTTGAAAATTATATTTTAATTATTGTTTCTATGACTGTATCATATATGAAATGTGTTGCTTATACTTTTCAAAATTAGCAAAAATAATTTTACTATCTTCGTCCAAATGCCTCCCACTTGGCTTGCAGTAATTCTTCGAGTAATCCATCTAAAAGTTCTAAATGCTTTGTTGTTGCCTGAAATTGAAGAATTTTAGAACAGTAACATGTACTGTCTCATTTATTCTATTTCTTGTCAATATTTGCTTCATTTTTCTTTCTAACCAAAATTCATATATTAATATAATTAATCGTTTACTTAACAAATTTGCTAAATTACTGAATTTAAAACTAGAAAATTTTAATATTTGTAAACAGAATCTATGCTTACACCGTAAACAATAAGAGATAATGCACTGTCTTCATTCAAATTGCCTGTTTCTTGATCTATTGTATCAATTCGAGCTAATGGATATGCATAACTGCTGGCATTTCCATAAGTCCAAACTACATGAGCTTCCAATTTTAAAATTTGCTCAAACATCTAAAGAAATAATCTTTAATACAAAATTCTGAAATACAATACTACTTATGAGCTATATAATAGAGCAAATATTTAATATTTTTTTAAAAATTTGAAACTCACTTTATTTATTATTTTATAACTTCTTTTAAATAAATAAAAATACGTGTAAATATTTATTTATAATCACATTTACTTCTTTTTTAGCTAAATGAGCTGCCAGAGTAAGTGGAGTGAAATTCTGGTTGTTAACTATTTGCAACTTTGCGCCCATATCGTACGACAATTTGATCATTTCCTGTTCAAATATCAATCAATTTATGCTTGTTTTAGATAATAATTATTAGCAATAACTGCAACAATTACTACTTTTTCTTGATAAGATGACTCTTTTTAAAAGTGGCACTCATTTAATTAACAAGCATAAATATGCAAATTTTAAGAATATTTCAAGAAATTTACAGGTTTTTCATGTATAACAGCAAGATGAAGTACTGTATTTCCATTAGTATCTTTTCTGTTTGGGTCAGCTTTTTTAGCCATTAACAGTCGAAAGCAATCAGTTTGATTAGTACAAGCCGCAAATGATAATGGATATTCACCAAAATACATCCGCCTAAGTAGTAAATAATATATATATTTCATATATATTACTTTCAGTTAACGTCTGTTCTCCACAAATCCATTACTTTTTGAAGCAATTATCGAAAATAATTCTTTTTAAAATCGTTATCGAAATTGCAGTATGACTTTAAAATCCGTGAAAAATGACCCTTAGCTAAGATTTGCTTCATTGACTCATTAGGTTTTTGATAAGAAGCTTGATAAATCCGATCTTTACTGATATTGATATCTTTGCAAATGTATTTGCGCAAATATTCTTTCTCTTTGAATTTTGAACAACACACAAAATTAGTGGTTGTAGTTTAAATTTCCAAATAATAATGATTATCAGTCTCAGACAATAGTATAGTATACAGGAAGTTTTTCTCCAAAAAGCTATTTGAAGAAAAAAAAGAAAGAATTCATTATCGAATTCATAACTTCGAAATTCTATCGTCAGTCGAGGTCAAATTTCAAATAAAAACTGACCCTGATACTGTATTATCAACCAAATCTTAGCTCACGACATGATTATTTTAATACTGGAAATACTAGCTCAGCTATCAGAATTAAAAAACTGATGACTCAAACATAGGCTATCGCTTCTAAAGCTTTCCATGGTAACCATTTGAATTGAAAAATCAAAATCTAAGCCTGAATACTGAAACTTAAAATAATGATACTTGATTCTTTTCTAATTTTTGTTATGCCATGCAAAACAATTTTGTACTCAAACTTTTTGGATTTCTATCTGCATTCTACAAAACTATTTTCATCCTTAAAAATCTTCCATTCTCAGTAATTACGGCAAAAATCTGTCACGTGAAGAGATAAATTACATCTAACAAATTTATAAATGAATGCATATTTGTTAAGATTTTAAGCAATGAAAAATAATTTTTCGACTGAATATCACTTTATTTATTTGTCGTAAAGTAACTAACCCAGCATAGCTAGTTTTCAGACTAAGTTCTACATATTCATGTTCTAAGGAATCTGTGCGGCTACTGATCTGATCTTCAGGGCAAAATGATGCTCCATAACATCGTTGATTAATATTTGCACCTTGTTGTAGCAAAAAGTTTACCATTTCAGGATCTTCATTAATTATGGCCTGATGCAAAGGAGATAAACCTGAAATTAAATAATTACTGAGTACAACAGTAATTTGTTATGAAAAAAAAATAAGCATTTTATAAAGAATATATTTGTAAAGAATACTAATTAAGCAATTTAATATCATTAGATTGAAGTTATTTTAAACTTTTAAGCTTAACAACTTTTAAAAATCGGTTCATTACAGAGTGATTTATTAATTCATAGCAATGATAAATATAAAGTTATTAAACTATGATGTTTTTCCAATAATCCAAGTTAATGCTTGATGATATATATTTATAAATATATATAAACATAAATCAATCAATCAATCAATATATATGCATGATTTTTTTGATCCAGATCAAGAAAGGAGGTTTATTTACCAGAATACTAATAGTATTAGAT